ATCTCGAGCGACTCTCGATTTCGCATATCGATGCATTACGCGACGTGCGTATATCTGGTGATTTGGCGCCAAAGTTGAAGCACTTGAGCATATGTATGTGTTGGAGTATCGGTACCATGGAGATTAGAGACATGACGAACCTCGAATCTATGAGGTTTCATGAATTTCCGTATTTTTGTCTCCTCGCGATAGAAAATGTGCCGAGGCTTGTTGAGTTGGAAACTAATTGTGTCGAGATCGGAACTGAAATCCTCTCACGCGGCAATATAATTAGTGAGCAATTGGCGAAGGTTAAACATGTTGAGTTGGAATGTCTTATGTTCAGGAATACTATTGACTCCCACGAACTCGTTCGTTTCATCGACGCGTGTCCGTGCTTGCAGAGACTCGAGATTAAGGTATTTTATATATCCTAATATTTTATATATTATCCAAAAATTGATCAACTGGAATCGATTATATTCATATATGTATATTAATATATTGTTATAATTTTGCAGTTTACGGCAACAAACTTTCACGATAGGTATTATCATATGAAGGTGGTGAACAAGACCTCAAATGATGATCATCCGAAAACGGTGAAACTGTCGGGAATCAAAGCGTCTCCGAACGAAGTGGAACTCGGGGTGCTCGTTGTTGAAAAAGCTACGGCACTTGAAGAGCTTATCGTGGAAATTAGCCCCGACAAAAGCTACACAAACCGACAAAGGATTATAGCTCGTATACGGAAAGAATTTCAACCAATACTACAAGATTCGGTTAATTTTGTTGTTGTCTAGATATTTAATTTAATCTAAGACCATCGAATTTATATTATATGCTGCTTGGCTGTGCTTTCAGAATGTTAACAAAATTGTTTTTCAAGTCCTGTTTGTGCCATCTTGGGGCAAACAAGTTTATATATATAACAGCAGTTCTTTTCAATAATTTTCTGACATGATTAGCATATTACGTAAATTACAATAAACTCATTATAGATTAAAGTAACTCTATCAACATAAATCAAATACATAAGACACATGTGGCAATATATACAGCAATATGTATATACAGCAATATGTACCTGTCATCATAAAATAAAAATAGACCAAAAAATAAAAATCAACCACACATAGAACATGTTCAACAAAAAGAAAATCGATCAAATTCCTTTAATCCCAAAGTTCAAAGATTCTAAATAACATTGCCA